TTCTGCTGGAATTTGCATAAAACATTTCTAGACATATACCACAAGAAATGTTGTGGCCGCTTCTAGGAAGTGAGACTGGCAGGTATTTTATAAACTTCTATCCTGTTAAATTCTATTTTCAGCCGGGCACAGTGACTCACACCTGTAATCCCAGCACTTTGGGAGTCTGAGGCAGGCAGATCACCTGAGGTCAGGAGTTCGAGACCAGCCTGACCAACATGGAGAAACCCTGTCTCTACTAAAAATACAAAATTAGCTGGGCGTGGTGGCGCATGCCTGTAATCCCAGCCACTCGGGAGGCTGAGGCAGGAGAATTGCTTGAACCCAGGAGTTGGAGGTTGCAGTGAGCCGAGATCGTGCCATTGCATTCCAGCCTGGGCAACAAGAGCGAAACTCTGCTTCGAAAAAAAAAAAAATTATATTTTTACTACATGCTTATATTATTTCTACAATTTTTTTTTTTTTTTTTGTGAGACAGAGTCTCACTCTGTCGCCCAGGCTAGAGTGCAGTGACGCGATCTCAGCTCACTGCAACCTTCGCCGCCTCCCGGGTTCAAGCAATTCTCGTGCCTCAGCCTCCTGAGTAGCTGGGATTACAGGCACGTGCCACCATGCCCAGCAAATTTTTGTATTTTTAGTAGATGTAGGGTTTCACCATGTTGGTCAGGCTGATCTCAAACTCCTGACCTCGTGATCCGCCTGCCTCAGCCTCCCAAAGTGCTGGGATTACAGGTGTGAGCTACTGCACCTGGCCTCAGTGATATTTATACATAAGCCTATATAAAATGTTTAGGGCTCAGTTTCCTGATTAAAATAGAAGGACTTTCGAAATGATTTGGTGGTGGTTGATCATTTCTTTTTCTGTTTACATGATTTCCTTAGAAAGAAAGCTTCCCAGTTGTTAGGGTTCAAATTACAGGGTGTTTGCATTCTTTCCTAATTTCTTTCAAAGGATACATACGTCATGTCAAGGGCAAAGATCAAGGTGCCTTAAGTGCCTAGCGGGATGAAACCTTGGGACCTACCAAGGGCAGACATTAAACGGAGACATACTGAAAAGGATAGGATAGCACATCAGTCTGTTCAGAACAGTGGTGGATAGTGTACAATGATGGATTATTAGATAATGAGCTACAGACAACAAAGCATTTGAAGGCATGTGAGAGGGTTATAAATGGACCCGTGTATAATTGAGGACATTTTCCCCTTTCCATAATAACACTCTACATCTGCTTGGCACTTCATAGCTCCAAGTTCTTTCACATAAATTACTGTAGCAAGCAGTTCAGTGCTCATTGACATCCCTTTATTCCCCATCCTGATCTTGTTCCGGTGGCAGCCTTCTGGTCCCATCTGGCCCAGGGGATGAACCATGACTGGTCCGAGTCACAGGTTCTCAGCTTTGGTTATACAGTAGGATCATCTGGGGAGCTTTTCAAACATCCCAGTGCCTGGGTCTGGGAACTCCACTCCAGACTACTTAAATCAGAATCTCGGGGTGGAGCTCAGGCATTGGCATTTCAAAAAATAAAATAAAAAAAGCTCCTCAGGTGAATGTAATGTTCAGTCACGGCTGAGAACCGCTAGTCTAAGCCAATCACAATGCTCCCATTCCCTTTCACCAATGATTGGGCTAGGACAGGCTGTGTAACCCAGTTTTAGCTAATGAGATGTAAAGGGAAGTCAGTTGGTAAAGGGGGTTCTGGGAAAGGTTTTATAATTTATCAAGGCTGGGTGCAATGATTCACATCTATAATCCCAGCACTTTGAAAGGCCAAGGCGGGCAGATCGCTTGAGCTCAGGAGTACGAGACTAACCTGAGCAACACAGTGAGAGCCCCCACTCCCCGTCCCATCCCCAATCTTTGCAAAAAAAAATTTTTTTTTAATGAGATGGAGTGGTGGTGTGCACCTGACCTGTAGTCCCAGCTACTTGGGAGGCTGAGGTGGGAGGATTGCTTAACCCCGGGAAGTTGAGGCTGCAGTGAGCCATGACACTGCACTCCAGCCTGGGTGACAGAGTGGATGTGGTGGTATGCACCTGTGAGCCCAGCTGCTTGGGAGGCTGAGGTGGGAGGATCACTTGAGCATGGGAGGAGGAAATTGCAGTGAGCCAAGATCACAACACTGAACTCCAGCCTGGGTGACAGAGTGAGAGCATCCTCTCAAAAAAAAAAAAAAAAAAAAAAAGCATGGCAGGAGGAAAAACCCCTCCACCCCTAACCGGCTAGATAGCTTCCTTCCTTTCTGTATTTTAATAACCCTGTGTCATTGTGTGAAGATGTGATGCTTGGAGCTGTGGCTACCATCTTGTGACAGTGGGAAGATAAGCTGGTGAATAAAAGCCAAGATGTAAAAGAGAGAAAGGGCCTAGGTCCTTGGTGACTTGGTTCAGGGTGCTACGGCCCTCCTCTAGACCAGAAAAAAACTTCACTGACTCCCTCACTGCCAAATCCTGGTCATTGGGTATGGACCATCCAGAAGTTACTCAGGTTAATTCACATGTGGCCTCTCTCCTCAGTTGAGCCGAGGGCATCCTGAGATGCCCTGTGGGGAGGATGGCTGTAAAGTCATCGGCTTTCCTGTGTAGGCACTGTTGGCAGCTCAGGGATATTTTATTTGTTCAGTGGTTGGGACATATTAGTAATAAAGCTGAGTGTATTTTCCACCTCATACTAGCCTGGCTGGAGTATCGGGGTGCTGCCAGGGAATGCCAAGGCGGGGAGCAGGTGAGGTATAAAAGAGAAGATTATGAACTCTGGAGTCCAACACCAAACACTGTTCCACCCTCACCAGCCCAGGTATGACTTTGGGCAAATTCTCTGAGTCTCGGATTCCTCATCTGGAAACCTGGTACAAATTATGATATATGTACAATGCCTAACTCAGTGCATGACACATAGCCCTTTGGTAAGGATCCATCCTCCTCCCTTCTCCTCCTCCCTTCTCTAGAGTAGAGCGTGACAAACTTTTGGAAAACCCATCAGTGTGTCGGCAGTAACGTTATCTTCCTAGGAACCAAGAATACAAGCATTGTAATCAATCCACTGATTGGTGGTAAGTGCCCAATGCGGGAGGAAGGACTCAGTCACTAAAGTCTGGAAGAGCTTAAAGCTTGCTCCCAGATGTCCCTGCAGCCCTGCAAAGGAAGCCCCGTCGGCCTTCCAAACAGCAACACCAGTGTCTTCCCTCACAGTCACTGTCACCCACACAGACTCTAACTTCCTAGAGGGCAAAGACTGTCCTCTACCCTCCTCTCTATTCTCTTTAATGCTTCACCCCAGCCAGTACTCAAACAGATGTTAGTAAAAATGAAAAAAAAAAAAAAAAAAAAGCACAAGTTTCTGGGAGATTGTCATGTCTTAAAGCCATAAAATGCACAGCATTCGCCCAGGGGAGGAGTTCCCTGAGGCCTGTGAAGAAGGGTTAGGGACAATTACTGTTGCATCTGTAAATACAGGATCAGCAGATGAAAGGATGTTTTTGTTAAGATGTGACAAGTCACCCTGTGCCTTACCTTCCATCACTCTGGATATCAGGAAAGAACACAGACTTCCTAGCAATTACAGAAACTGACTAAGAAAACCATTTGATTACTGGGAGAAAACTTAGTTAGCCAGCTTTTGAAATCACTCTGAAACTCTGGTTCTGTAACAACAACAAAGTCCCTCTTCATTAATATCTTCAACGTTTGTCCTCAGAGCTTCATCTCAGGGGAATGCTGAATTACACTATGAAATAATGAATGGAAACTTAACTCACTTCCGCCCACCCAGCACTGCTTTTCCTCCTCCTCTGGACTGACTGCACAGCGCAGAAGGCGGCACCCTTCCAACTCACACAAAGTTCGGGAAACACACTCCCATGTCACTGACTCCTATGGTCAGCACTGTGCAGAGCAAACCCTTCCCTCAGGCCATACACTGACCCACACAGAACACATTTTGAGACTGTTTCAGCACCACTTTAGCATCTTCAGATATGCAGAGAAAAAACAAAAATGAAAAAAACAACAACAAAAAGGAGGGGGCAGTGTCTTTTCACAAAGCTCCTCCTGCAGTGACAAACTGCTACTGCCAATTGAAGGCACCATCTGTCAAACGGATGGGGTGGAGTGGGGGACACCCACCCCTGAGGTCTTGTCGACACTAGAGGAAGCTGATGTGAATGGGATATGGTCATATATCCTGCAAACGCCAGCTACAGGGAGAAGGGGGAAGGGAGAGAAGGAGAGGAAGGGGGAGGTGGAGGAAGAGAGGGAGAGGGGAAATGGGAGAGGGAAGGAGGGGGAGGGGAGACAGAGAGGCGCATATGAGCCAGGGGAAAGCAAGTCTATTCACTACACAAGCGCCTGCGACACACAATATGCAAGAAGTGTTGCAAGAGCCGCCTGACTGTGCCTGCATGCTTGGAAACTCAGGAGAAAAGCCCTGGAGCCTGCGCATAAAACAGAGAAGAAAAACGAAACAGAAAGATTAGGGATAGGCAGGGTTAGAATCAACGCCTTTCCACCAAACTCTCTGCTTTTGGCTTTCTCTGTGCCTGTAAACACCATTGCAAAGTCTCCTTACAGGACAAACTAGCATCAAGATAACTCCATAATCATCAACCTCAAATGGTTTCCGAAATCCTATACTCCACATGTCAACTCCCAGTCTCACGGTTCATTATGACTATTTCAAGCCTTCTCTACTCTCCTCAGCCCTCTGAAACCTCCTACTTCATACCGGGGAATGGGAATGCGGAGACCTGACTTCCACCTCAGTCACGCTTAAATATCCTCTCTCATCTCGGGATCTCCCTCTAAGGAGGCGCAAGGCTAAGCTGGAGATTCCGATGAATCTACCAAATTCTACGAGCAGGACTTTCCCATCCTCTTGAACCTGATCTGACAGGATGGGATCCAGGATGGTACCCTCCCCTCTACACTTCCCATCCCCTGGCCATTCCAGGCTCCCGGAAGACCAGTCCCGGTCCCTGACTTGCCCCGGGCCACCTTACCCGGATCCGTGCCGGGGACAGGGATGGGAGGCTACGTGGCGCTATCGGCATCCATCTCCAGCGGCGTCTCCCCATCCCTGGGCGGCTCCACGTCGCCCTCCTCTCCGCTGCGAGGGTAGGCAAGCAGACGCATGGCTGGAGCGCAGGCGGCCTCCACCTGGCGCACCTGCTCTCGGCTCAGGCGCTCGCGCCAGGCGTGCACCGCCTCGCGGGCGTCGCGCGCTGACAGGTGGAAGGGCCGGTCGGCGCCATAGGCCGCGCCACGAGTCATGTTGAGCGCGAAGGCGTCGAGCGCTGCGAGCGCGCGCAGCCCGGAGAAGCGCAGCAAGCGGCGCAGCTGGGCGCGTGGCTGCCGCACCAGGTCCTCATAGCGCAGCCTAAGGTAGCGGCGCCGCAGCCAGGCGGGCGCACCGCGCGCGAAAAGTAGATCCCGCAGCCAGGCTTCGCAGATCACCTCGAGCGCACCGGTCAGGAAGAAATCGGCGCGCGGTGCGGCAGGCAGCGCGCGAGACTGGCCCCCGGGGCGAGCACCCACGCCGTGCGCCAGCAGCACACGGTGGAAGCGGTCGCCTCTCTGGCGGGTGCGCAGCACCTGGATGCTCTCGCGCAGCAGTCCCTGCCTAGACTTGAGGCGCGAGTTGTGCACCGCCCTCGGGTCGCGGAAAAGCTGCACCACCTTCAGGTTGAGGCCTGGGTCACGCAACAGGGGCACCAGCACGCCCAGATCGAGCAGGCGCACGTCCTTGATGACCACCACCGGGTACTTTCGGCACTCGGCCTCCAGGGCGCGTATCGCCACGGGTGGGCAGCTGCGCTCGCAGGCGGTGTCCTCGACGAGGCCCACCTCCGCTCGGGCACGGGGCGCGCCAGGACACAGTGGCGGCGAGCAGATGACCTTGTTAGTCCGCCAGCGGAAGAGGGCGGCCGTGGTAAGATTGGCCGTGTCCGGGGCGCGCGCAGCGGGGTCCCCCGGCGGTGCGTACAGCCGCAGCACGGAGAAGTCGCAGCGGAAGAGCGAACGCAGCATGTCGCGCAGCGCGCCCTGCAGGCTCTCGGCATCGCCCGGATACAGCGCCTGCCATAGATGCCACATAGGCTCATACAAGTAGAAAACGTCCGGGTGCTGGTTAAAGAGTTCGCCCAGGAAGGACGAGCCGGTGCGCCAGGTGGCATGCACGTAGATGTGCTGCTTCTCGCGAGACACCGCCTCCCCGACAGCGCTGCTGAGGTTGCTTGGGGACCGAGGGGACTGGCTCGCGCCCCCTTCCGCGGCGGCCCGCGCCTCTGCGCCCTGCTCGCGTTCGCCGGCCGCCGCCGCCTCCAGGCTCCACACTCCCAGGCTGCGCTGCAGGCCAGGGCAGTGCCCGGCGCCCTTGTCCCCGTCGCGGCCGCCGTCCAGTACGGAGGGGACGAGCAACAGCACCAGCGTGTACAGCACCAACAGCAGCGCGAACTTGCAGTACTCTCGGCGTCGCCGCCGCCGGCCCTTCATCGTTCACCGACCCGCCAGAGTGGGTCGGGCGCCAGTTTTCTCCCGTTCCTCAGAAATCCCGTCCTGAGTCCGCTCCTGTGGCCTCTCCCGGCCCCTGTGTGCCGGGAGGAGCAGAGCCGCGGGGCCGCGCATCCACGAGGGGAAACTTGGAAGGCGGTGGTGCTACTGACTGCGCCCCTGCCCTCTCCGCTCAGCCGCCGGAGAGCCGCCTATTGGCCGACTTGGCAGCCGCCCGCCCCGCCTTTCTGCCCGCCTGGGTTCGCCCACGGCTCTGCCAGATCTGGGCGGGGCTGTAGCGGGGCTGGGACTCGGGCTTACCGAGCCAGACCCCCACCTTTCCCCAAACCCTCCGTAGTGAAGCCTTCATCAATAACTTCAGGCAAAGGAGGTACCTGTGTGTACAGAATGTACCCAGTAAAGGGCCATAGACCCCACCCGGAGAAGGCCACTGCCTCTTCTGTTTTATGTCCCCTGCCTAGCCATCGCTATCCTAGGCGGATAACCACTCGCCACTATCTACATCCAGCGCCCCCATCAGCCCTGGAGTGGATGTTACTGAGTTCTGGAGTAAAAGATACAAGATTGCACGTGGCAGAGTGGTCCAGGGGAGTTGGAGATACTACTGCATTCACGCAGCACCTTTCATAAAGTCTAGCCTTTGTGAAGTTCTAAGTGTTGTGTTCCGTAGGGTTTTTCACCAGCTGATGGGCTCTGCACATTTTACCAATACTCTGGGGTCCAGTTTGGTCATTTGTAAAATGTGAATAATTCTCAGTACCCATGTACCTCCTGGGATTGCGAGATTTGGGGGTTGTTACCACAGTATTACCCAGCCTATGCTGACACCTATGAACAAAAGACATTTACAGAATCAAAGTGGTAGAATGGTGACCTTTCTCCGGAGCTTGGTGTTTAAAAGGACCTGTAAGGAGAAACGTGTGCCCAAGGATAGATGGAAAAGGGACAGGAAGTCCAAGAGGCAGATGAAGACTAGAGTCACTAAAATTCAAAACAGAACCAAAAAAGATACATTTTGCTCTGTTCATCAGGCCAATGAATAAGGAAGTGAGAGCTTTCACCAGCTTGGGGAAGGCATTGTAAAGTTAACAAAACATAGAAAGCATATCTACTCATCTCCACCAGGGGAAGGTGTTCAGATTGGAAGAGAGAACATCTGCAATGCTCTCCACTGGTCTTTTTCATCACGGAAGTTACTCCACCTGTGAAATCACTGACTCAAGTATTTCGTTTTCTTTCCACAATTCCCCTCTTCTTCCAGCCAGTTGTTCAAATCTTCCCTATTCTCCAACCTCCACTTTTTGACCACCACCCCCACTTTCTTCTCAATTTTTCATATTCAGCGGAAAGATGCCATACTATTATTTTAATAACACTCCCTCCAATAAGCTAAACTCATGTGCCCTCTGCCTTTTCATTACTCAACTAGCAAAATCCCCCAAACCCTGCTTTTGGCTTTCTCTGTGCCTGCAAACACCATTGCAAAATATTTCCCCACAGGTGTGAGCCAGGCACAGTGGCTCACGCCTGTAATCTCAGCACTTTGGGAGCCCACAGAACAGATTGGCATCAAGATAACTTCATAATCATCAACCTCAAATGAATGCTGAAATCTTATGTTCTTCATGTCACTTCCCAGTCTCAAGTTCCATTATGTTGATTTCACACCTTCTCTAGTCTCCTCAGACTTCTGATACCCCTCTTCCCCCACCCACCATTTCTCAGCACTTACCTCCTACTTCATAAAGAAACCATGTTAGACAATCTCTCACTTTTCCACTATCAAACTCATATGCATTGACCTCTGTACACATCTCCTTTGTAGCAAGGATATGATTTTACAATATTAATATACAACTTTCCCTTCTGTTTTCACTTTTCCCTCCTCTCTGGCTTGGTGGGGTTTTTTTTTTGGAGACAGAGTCTTGCTCTGTCGCCCAGGCTGGAGTGCAGTGGTGCAATCTTGGCTCACTGCAAGCTCCACCTCCCAGGTTCACGCCATTCCCCTGCCTCAGCCTCCCCAGTAGCTGGGACTACAGGCGCCCGCCACCACACCCGGCTAATTTTTTGTATTTTTAGTAGAGACGGGGTTTCACCATATTAGCCAGGATGGTCTCGATCTCCTGACCTCGTGATCCGCGCGCCTCGGCCTCCCAAAGTGCTGGGATTACAGGCGTGAACCACCACGCCCGGCCCTCTCTGGCTTTTTAATAAGTTTTATTTTGAGACAGGATCTGGCTCTGTCACCCAGGCTGGAGTGCAGTGGCACTATCACCGCTCACTGCAGCCTCAACCTCTCAAGTCCAAGCGATTTTCCTACCTCAGCCTCCCAAGCAGCTGAGACCACGGCATGTGGACACCCAGCTAATTTTGTTTGTTTGTTTGTTTTTTGTAGAGACTGGTGTCTCTATGTTGCCGAGGCTGGTCTCGAACTCGTGGACTCAAGTGTTCCTCCCACTTCGGCCTTGTGCTGAGATTACAGGCCTGAGTTACTGTGCCTGGCCTCCTGTCATCTTTTAAGCAAGTAGGTGGCTCTGTGCTGGTGTGAGGGGAGAGGTGTGGCTGGGCAGAATGCAAATAGTTGCTGGTGTTTGTTTTCCCCAAAAGCCTCAACTCCGGTAGCAGAAAATGTGATAGGTTTTTTAAATAACCACTAAGTATTCCCCTCCTCTGTTTTGCCCTTGGGCAATGACTTCCCATACTGACTCTGGGGTGACCATGTGGCTTGCATTGGCTTGTGGGACAGTAGCAAACATGACACAGCAGAGGTCTGAAAAATGCTCCTGCTGTGGGAATTGCCCTCATCCTGCTCTTTGGAACCCTGAGATCGGCTGGTGAAGAAGCCTGAGTTAGCAACATGGCTCAGAAAATAAGCCCTCCCAGCTGAGGCCCCCCACCCCCCAGACAAGCAAGCCTGCTGACTGCCAGACAGGTGAGAAAGGAGAGCCTCCACCAGTACTTCTCAAACTTGAATGCTTGAAGGCTCCTGTCAAAATGCAGAAAGTGGGCCGGGCCCAGTGGTTCACACCTGTAATCCCAACGCTTTGGGAGGCTGAGGCGGGTGAATATCCTGAACCCGGGAGTTCGAGACCAGCCTGGGCAACATGGTGAAACCCCATCTCTACCCAAAGTACAAAAAAAATGAACCGAGCATGGTGGCGTGCACCTGTAGTCCCAACTACTTGGGAGGCTGAGGTGGGAGGATCACTTGAGCCCAGGAGGTGGAGGTTGTAGTGAGGTTGTAGTGAGCCTGGGTGACAGAGTGAGACCTCATCTCAAAAAAAAAAAAACAAAACAAAACAGAAAATGATTCATTACACCTAGGGTGGGGCCAGAGAGACTACATTTCCTTCTTCTTCCTCTCCCGTCCCCTCCTCCTCCTCCTCCCTCCCTCCTCCTCCCCTCGCTCCTCCTCCCCCTCCTCCTCCTCCCCTCCTCCTCCCTCCTCCTCCTCCCCTCCTCCCTCCTCCCCTCCTCCTCCTCCCCTCCGCTCCTCCTCCTCCTCCTCCCTCCTCCTCCTCCTCCTCCTCCGCCCTCCTCTCCTCCGCCCTCTCCTCCTCCCTCTCCTCCTCCTCCTCCCTCCTCTCCTCCTGTCCCATCCAGCTACGCAGTTGCCGGCCCTGGCGGGCTCATAGCTCATTGCAGCTTCAACTTCCTGGATCAAGCCATCCTTCTCATGCTGGCTAATTTAAAAATAAAAAAAATTTTTTTTCTAGGCGAGGCGCCCGGTGGCTCATGCCTGTCATGCCCAACACTTGGGAGGCTGAGGCAGGGCGGATCCGAGGTCAGCTCGAGTTTGGAGATCTAGCTTGGCCATTGGTGAGAACCCCCGTCCTCTACTCAAAATACAAAAATTACCCGGCATGGTGGCACTCACCCTGTAGCCCGCACCTTGGAGCGCTGAGCACGGGAGAATTTGCTGAACCCCAGGAGGCGCGGTCTGCAATCAGGTCGCGATCACAGCACTGCCTCCAGCCCTGGGTGACAGAGTGAGACTCCATCTCAAAAAAAAAAAAACAATGTAGGCCAGGCATGCGGTGCGAATCATGCCTGTACTCCCAGCCTTTGCGGGAGGCCGAAGGCAGGCAAGATCCCGAGGTCAGGATGATGTCGAGGCATCCTGGCTAAGCACAGTGAAACCCGTCTCTACTCAAAAATACAAAGAAAATATGGCCCGGCGGTGCAGGCACCTGTAGTCCCAGCCTCTCGGAGGCTGAGGCAGGAGAATCGGCGTGACGCCGAGTAAGAGCTTGCAGTGAGTCGAGATCAGGCACTGGCAGCTCCGCCTGGGTACAGAGCGAGACTCCGTCTCACAGAACAAGAACAAAAAATTGTAGGGTCTTGCTATGTTGCCCAGGCTGGTCTTGGACGCCTGGCCTCAAGCAATCCTCTTGCCTCATCCTCCCAAATTGCTGGGATTACAGGCTTGAGCCACTGCACTGGGTCCTGAGACCACATTTCTCATAAGCTCCGGGGTGCTTCTGATGCTCCTGGTCTGAGGACCACACTTAGCATAGAAAGATGCTACACCTTCCTGCTTTAACTGAGCTGACCCACCAAATTGTGAGAAATAATAGATGTAAGTTTTAGGGGTTTGTTATGTAGCAAAAGCTAGCTGATACAAAGAACGTGTGAGGGCTGAGATGAAATGTTTTGGAGAAGCAAAGGAAAGAGCAGCAGCACTCTAGTGCCCCCAACCCCACTGAGACATTTTCCCTAGGCTAGGAGGGGTGGGCAAAGGGAGAGAGAAGTCTATGGATCCTGCAGCCGAGAGCACCTGAACTCCTTCCTGGCGATGTGTCAGGGCAGAGCAAGAGTCAAAGAGAAGTGGCCACATAGTTCAGCTTGACAGAGATGATCAGGGGCACTGTGCTAAACCTTTCTGGGCCCTAGGCACAGCTTGGAAGCAGCAGAAGGGTCAAGTGACAGTGACGGAGACATTTCAGGGCAACTAGGTGAGCCAAAACCCAATGATTCTAAGACCCCAGATCAAGAGTACAACCTTGGGAGTAGAGGAACCCTAGGAATTAATAAGGTCAATCAGTGGTCTGTCATCCTAGCAGAAGGAAAACTCAATCTGAATTAAAGTTGTTTTCTATTAAGTGATTTCTATCACACCTAAGTTACTAGATCTGCTATCCGTTTTTCACAATAGAGTAGGCCCTGGTCCCTCCTATCAATCACCATTTCTCCTCCCTATTCAACTATACCCTCTCAACCAGATTATTTCCACTGATGTGAAAATTAAACAGTTTGGTCTCTTTCTCTGTTTCTTCCTCTGTCTTTAAAGTCCCATTGATTTGCATCCTCCTTTAGCATAGCTGCTGCTAACACATACAGTACCGTTGTGGGAATCAGAAGGTGCCCCCTCCGGACAGATGAATTGCAAGGGGGCTGACCCCATTTAAATAAGTACCCCTTCCTTCAGGCCACAGCCCCAGTCCAAGGTTCACAGCTTGAAGGCAGAACCTGGTCAGATTCCAGCCTGCTCTTGCATCTTTCTGCCAGGCACCCTCACCCTGCCCTTCTCCTACCCTTGTCCTGTTGCCACTAGTTTCTCTGCCCACTCCTCACAGCCCAACTTCTTAGTAGAGCTGTCTGTACTAGTTCTCTCTGTGCTCTCATCTCCTACTCATTCTGTGGTAGGCCAGGTCTCCCTAACAACTGTTTCAGCACTGACTGAGTGGTTAACTATTAAAAGCTGAGAGAGCCAGTGCCCTGATACAAAGGCTGGAAGGTAACAAAACACACCAAGAATTTTGCCTAGGTCTTTCCTGGGCCTTGAAGCGTGACGAGAGAAGGAAGGAGTTTTTAACAGGACCCATTTAAGATTAAACAAGTTTCTCTGGGCACAGTGGTTCATGCCTGTAATCCCAGCACTTTGGAAGGCCGAGGCAGGCAGATCACTTGAGGTCAGGAGTTTGAGACCAGCTTGGCCAACATGGTGAAAACCCGTCTCTACTAAAAATACAAAAATTAGCTGGGCGTGGCATGCACCTGTAATCCCAGCTACTTGGGAGGCTGAGGCAGGAGAATCGCTTGAACCCAGAAGGCGGAGGTTGCAGTGAGCCGAGATTGAGCCACTGCACTCCAGCCTGGGCAACAGAGTGAGACTCTGTCTCAAAAAAATAAAATAAAATTTTAAAAGATTAAACACGTTTTATTAGGGGTCTGAAGGAACTCCCCAAACCTCCATGATATAGCAGGAGATAAGATAAGGGTAATCACCCTAGCACCTGGATCCATTTGGATTAAGTAACTTTACTGAGGCTCCAGAGGAAGGTCTTCAGGACTCAGATCTTAATTATAGATTAGAAGTGAATCACCTATGTCTTTAGATGAATGCACACTTACACATAGACATATAGCTTAGGAGGTATGTAAGCTCTGGAAAACTTGGTAATTTTGAGTTGGTCTGGTGATAATTTCCAGGCTTTCTCCCTATACCCAGTTACCGAAATAAAATCTCTCTTCTTTCCCAGTTCACTTGCATCTTGTAATTGGGCTGAGACCCTCGGTTTGGTCTGGGAACAATTCCTCAGCACACTCCAATCTGAGTTCTGCCCCCATATTGCCACATCATCAGCTCTTTCGAAGCTTATCAATGGCTTCCGTGGGGTTTTTTTTTTTTTAAATTGAGTTTAGCTAGGATCACAGACTCACACCACCACTCCCAGCTAACTTTTTTATTTTTAATTTGTGTAGATACGGGGTCTTCCTATGTATTCCAGGCTGGTCTCCAACTCCGGGGCTCAAGTAATCCTCCTACGTTGGCCTCTCAAAGTGCTGGGATAACAAATGTGAGCCACCATGCCTGGTGCCATGTTACTGAATCCAGGACACTTTCATGGCT